GGGGGGAAGAGAAACAGGGAGACAGAACACCAATATGAACGGTGGCAGGGCCAGCAGACCAGGACAGTCCTCCTCTCTCCCAAATCCGTGACATGGATGTAAAGGGACTGAAACAAACACACAGGGACAAGACCCAGACAAGGGCAGGAAAGGAAGAAAAACAGACCAGACAAACGACACAGAGAATCTAGAAATAAATAGGAGTCATCCAGAGACTGAGGCAGAAACAGAAAGACCCAAAGAGGAAACAGGTTGCTTCCTCCACCTCCTCCATTCTCCCCCACCGCCCACCACCAAATCCTCACCAGGGCTGGGCCTGAATGAGTGCCCAGGTCCCAAGGATGGTGACGAGAGAATGCAAAGTGTGGGGGCCACAGGTGAACAAGGTAAGCCCCAGGCCCACAGCTGCTGCCCCCCATTTCTTCAGCCCAGGTCCTGCAGGGAGAAGGCATAACATAAGCATGGAACCTTCCAGGGGTCCGCCCGACGCGAGTCCCCCTCCCCACCCCCCGCCTTTATTTTCCACTGGGTAGGGAACCTGACTCACCAGCTTTCTTAAAGAGGAAGCCGATGGGGATGGAGATAAGAAGAACCACTAGATACGTCCATTCTTCGGGCGACATGTTCTGGGGGAGGGGCAGAGGTTCGCGGTGAGAACCCAGGAGTCCGGGCCCCCGGCCCCTCCCCCTTGGGGATTCAGGAATCAGCCCTAGTCTCCAGTTGTCCAGGATCAAGGAGTCCTACCCTCAGCTCCTCTCCTCTGAGAACACAGGAATCCCGACCGCCAGGCCCTTCCTCCTTCAAGGATAGAGGAATCCACCCCCAGACCCCCTGTTTGGAGAACCTACGCCCTCAGACCTCCTCCCCTTTGAGAAACCAGGAACCCAAACTTCCAGCCCCCTCCTCTTTCGAGGATCCAGGAACCCAGGCTCCCTCTACCTATCCCCCAGCCCCTCCCTGTTTGAGAACCCAGCTCTCCAGACCCCCAACCCCCTTTCGAGGAGAACTCAGAGGAGTCAGGCCTCCAGCTGCCACCTCCTTTAGAGCTCCGCTACATCTCCTGTCTAAAACCTGGAGAGAGGGCCCCCTCCTCAGCCCCGACACCAAGCACGGGTAAGACCCACCCTGGGCAAAGCCACAGGCGGTTACGCCACCCAAGAGCTCGGTCGCGCACCCGTAGCCGCCCCCGCACCCCATTTAGCCCGCCGTATCTGCAGC